TGGGCTCCTTGTGTTACATAGCATTTTCCCACTAGCTATCTATTTTACACATGATAGTGTATATATGTCAATGCTACTGTCTCAATTTGTCCCACCCTTCCCTTTCCTCGTTGTGTCCACTAGTCCATTCTCTACGTCTCTCTTTTAAATTTTTGACTGGATTTTGAAGGCTTGTAATCAGTCTTGCACACGATAAGCACTTAATCAATATTTTGTTTTATTAATGTCCCTAATGGTTCTGAATGGACTTCCCTGGTGGCTCAGATGGTAAAGCATCTGCCTACAATGTGGGAGACCCGGGTTCAATCCCTGGGTTGGGAAGATCTCCTGGAGAAGGAAGTGGCAACCCACTCCAGTATTCTTGCCTGGAAAATCCCATGGATGGAAGAACCTGGTAGGCTATAGTCCATGGGGTCGCAAAGAGTCGGACACAACTGAATGACTTCACTTTCACTTTCAATGGTTCTGAATAACAAAAATATTCATTCATTTGAACTTATATTTGTAACCTTATTAAATGTCTCTGTGGTATGAGGAACTGGCTACAAATATTCGTGTCCAGATACACATGCAACTTTTAGGGCAAAAGATCAAATTCCAAATAGATTATTCCTCTAGGTCTAATGCATGGAATGTATGCTGAGACATTAGTAGTTCTGACTGTGGCATCAGATAAACAGAACTGGAGGACTCTGTCCTGATTTATAGGTTGTGTGACCATGGGCAAGTTATTTCATCTCTCAAAACAGCAATTTCATGATTGAGAAAAATGAGACCATTATAGTGTCTATCTCGTGTGGTGTTTGAAGATTAAACGAGATAGGGCCCACTGTGTTGGCCCACAGAAAGAACTCAGTCCATGTAAGCTATTATTATAGCTTCTAAGTTTTTGTAAGTTACAAGGGAACAATCCAGACAGGGAACATCAGTGTTTTTTCATTTTATTTTTAATTGGAGGATAATTGCTTTACAACATTGCATTGGTTTCTGCCATGCATCCATATCAGTGTTTTAAATGTAGACAGAGGACCACCTATATCAGAATCAACTTAGGACTTACTGAATGAAAAAAAAAAGAATCAACTTAGATACATTTAAACAGGCAGATGACTGGGCCCTACCACTGACTTAGTGATCATGCTTTTTCACACTGAGGTGCTGTTGCTGCTCACTCAGTCCTGCCCAGACCTTTCCGACACCATGGACTGCAGCATGCCAAACTTCCCTGTCCATCACTATCTTCTTGAGCTTGCTCAAATTTATTTCCATTGAGTCGGTGATGCCATCCAACCATCTCATTCTCTGTTGCCCCCTTCTCCTCTTGCTCTCAATCTTTCTCAGCATCAGGGTCTTTTCCAAAGAGTCGGCTCTTCACATCAGGTGAACAAAGTATTGGAGCTCTAGCTTCAACATCAGTCCTTCCATTGAATATTCAGAGTTGACTTCCTTTAGGACTGACTGGTTTGATCTCCTTGCTGTCTCAAGGGACTCTGAACAGTTTTCTCCAGCACCACAGTTTGAAAGCATCAATTCTTCAGTGCTCAGCCTTTTTTATTGTCCAACTTTCACAACTGTATGTGAGTGACTATTGGAAAAACCAAAGCTTTGACCGTGTGGACCTTTGTTGGCAAGGTGATGTCTCTGCTTTTCAATACACTGTCTAAGTTTGTCATAACAAGGAGCAAGTGTCTTTTAATTTCATGGTTGCAGTCACATCCATGGTGATTTTGGAGCCCCCCAAAATAGAGTCTGACACTGTTTCCACTTTTTCCCCATCTATTTGCCATGAAATGATGGGGGTGCATGCCATGATCTTAGTTTTTTGAATGTTGAGTTTCAAGCCAGCTTTTTCACTCTCCTCTTTCACCTTCATCAAGGGGCTCTTTAGTTCCTCTTTGCTTTCTGCCACGAGAGTGGTGTCATCTGCATATCTGAGGTTATTGATATTTCTCCTGGCAATTTTGACGCCAGTCTGTGCTTCATCCAGCCTGGCATTTTACATGATGTGCTCTGCATAGAGGTTAAACAAGCAGGGTGACAAGTTAAACAAGCCTTGACGAACTCCCTTCCCAATTTGGAACCAGTCTGTTCTTCCATGTCCGGTTCTAACTGCTGCTTCTTGCCCGGCATACAGGCTTTTCAAGAGACAGGTAGGGTGGTCTGGTACTTCCATTTCTGTAAGAATTTTCCACAGTTTGTTGAGAGCCACACAGTCAAAAGCTTTAGCATAATCAATGAAGCAGAAGTAGATGTTTTACTGGAATTCTCTTGATCTTTTTATGATCCAACGGATGTTGGCAATTTGATCTCTGGCTCCTCTGCCTTTTCTAAATCCTGCTTGAACATCTAGAATTTCTCAGTTCATATACTGCTGAAGCCTAGCCTGAAGGGTTTTGAACATAATTTTGATAACATGTGAAATGAGTGCAATTGTACGGTAATTTGAACATTCATTGGTACTGCCTTTCTTTGGGATTGGAATGAAAACTGACCTTTTCCTGGGCACCTGTATTTTATCCAGCTTCCTAGGCATCTACCGATGAGAAGTGGTCTAGATTGCCTCAGTGCTGCCGTGCAGCTCCCGTGTCACTGTGTGGGCTGCGGTGGGGAAGGGGTGAGGTGGACTGTGTCCATTGACTTTGTAGTGTGTCGGGGGTTCTGTTGCCCCCAATTTCTGCAAAGATCTTAAGGACCACTTTATGTGCTTTGTGCGCAGTCATGTCTGACTCTTTGCAGCCCCATGGACTGTATATAGCCTGCCAGGCTCCTCTGCCCATGGGATTTTCCAGGCAAGAATCCTGGAGTGGGGTGCCATTTTCTACTCCAGGGGATCTTCCCAACCCAGGGATTGAACCTGCATCTCTTGCATCTCCTGTATTGGCAGGCAGATTCTTATCCACTAGCACCACCTGTGAAGCCCATTTTAAAGTTGGAGTTATTCATCATAATACACGGTAGAGATATTAGCTCTTGTCTCACATTTTTTTAAATGAATCTTTTTCCATGCCAGATTTAGGGGAAAATTAAGGGGCATGTGAAGAAAGAGCCAGAAACAAGGAAGCAGGAAGTGCTCACTATTAATGCTGCAAGGTCACCGATTCAGAAGGCAGAGGATAGAAGTGGGGAATGAAAAAAAGAATGGCATCCAGGAAAGAGATTTTGGTGCCAACCACTGGACATCTGTGTGTTCTTTGCTCTTTGTCCCTTTGAGGCAGCTGCTGGGGGTGGGTACAAGGTGTGCAGGGGCTTTGGGCTCTGTGCACAGACATTTGTTGACAATAGACCAGTTTTAGTTTGGTTTGAAACTATTAAAATTTTATTTTTATTGGTGTCTCAGAAAAGCAGTAATTGTTCTGTTCCCCTGGCACATCTATCCAGAGGCAGGTTGTAACTTGATCTATTTGCCCAAGCCTTAGTAGAGCCCCCAGGGAGGGGACAGTCAGATGGTGTCAATTTGAAAGCAAATGTGTCTCCTGATCCAAAGAAACCCACTGAGGTGGAGGTTTGTCACCTTCTTCCCCTCCGTCTCCCAGCTCTTGTGCTTCGCACCTTCCTCTCCTGTGGGCAGTCTGACCCAGCTGGAAAGCTCTGACTATTTGTAGGCAGCTGGGAACACAGTTTTGTGTCCACAGGGAGGTTGGGTTTAATGGAGAATGATTCCTCAGGTTCCTGAACAGTCTTTCACAAATGGCAACTCCAAATTTTCACCAGTGGAGAGTAGGGAGCAACACTTGGTGTTTTTCAGACCCAAGCGCAGCCACTTATTGGCTGCCTGACAGTGGGCAGGTGACTTAACTTCTCTGAACCTCAGATTTTTCATTTTGCTATCAGTGTTATTGTGAAAATTAAGTGAGATGACGTGTAAGAAGATCAATAGATGCTTCTGGCACATAGGAAGGGCTCAGAAAATGATAGCTGTGGGCAGTACCAATGGAACCAGTATTGCTTCCATTGTGCTGAACCTCAGGACATGGAAAATGCCCCCAGACCTCACTGTGGAGATGAAGTGCTGTGCCTTCATGCCCTCAACAAACAGGATTCAACAGTATAGTTTAGGACAGATAGCTTTAGTAGCTCCTCTTCACCTTGAAAGACAGTTGGCCTTGTTCAAACAGATTAATCCACGGAAGTTCAGCTGTAAATAACATGGTCGATCCTATAAATCAATCTGTAAATAAGTGATGCATATTTAAAGACCTAAAGCAGAAATGCAGAAATAGAAAGTAACAAAGAATTCTAACCTTTGTGGTACACCAATTGCATGGCAGCTCTCAAGAGAAAGATTAAGTATTTGCCCTTGAAGTTTACAAAACAGGATTTTGGGTATGAAAAGAATTACCTACAGTTTAACTGTGCTGTAGGTAAGACGTGCTTTTGGGGCATCTTAACCTTCTGTTGACCACTGATAGGCATGAGAAACTACTGATGCATACACGGCTTTCTCTGATGTTACCCAAGACGTATACCTTGTCTAGCAGTGGAGGTTGAATGTCCCTCTTCAGCCATCACAGCTGTGTCTACCCTCCATGCCCATCGGAGCCAAGGCACCTCACCACATTAAAATAATTTTCAATCTGTGAACAAGTGGGATTAAATAATAAAGAGTAAGTTTTGATTTCCAGAGTAACTTGATATTATTCATATCAGTTGGGGAATGACTAGTGGAAAATTTAAACAACAAGCCAACTTTTAGTGTACAAAATTATTTATTAGTTAAAAAATTATCATTTGTTCGTTACACAAGAAAAGTAAAACAACCGAGTGTTCCCTACAAAAATTTCAACTGTAAGCATACAAAGTAGGAGTGGCACTATGACTGAGCCTGAGGACTCCATCTTGATGCCGAAATTAGTGTCAGAAAACCAAAAACGGTGACATGTAAACTGCACCTGTGATATTTTGTTAGCAGGTTGTATATTTTGAGTTGTCATCTAGAGGTGGTAAAAAAGAAAAAAAAAAAAGATGTACGCATGCCATGTTCCAAATAGACGTCATTTCTATTAACTGTAGCAGATGTCCCAGTTTGTTTCCCTCTTATAGAAATCACTGCTTGCTGCTGCGGAGGGAGCGAAGTTCACATAGTCTGTGCTGGGGCAGGAAAAGCAGTCTGAAGCTCGGAAGGCGTCCAAGCATTCGGCCTCGCAGGAGGCGCAGCAGCAGACCGAGGCGGGGGCGAAGCTGTCATACTGCGCGTGCGCGTAGGTGTAATCTCCCGAGGGGTGGCCGCAGTTCCTGGGGTCCAGTGCGGGGAGAGCGGTGTGACTCTCCGGGGCGTACGAAGGCAGCTGAGCAGGACAGTAATTGTAGTCTAAGGAGCCAGACAGAGTGGAGGAATCTGAAGGCGATTCTGGCGTCTAGAGAGATGAAAACCAAGGACCCCAAAGCGTGATAAATTAGACAGGATTAGAAGAGCTGAATAGAGCGGATTTATTAACTCAGAGTAAAAGAACATTAGGGGTAAAAGAGAAAAGGCACAACAAAAGCATCTAACCCAACCCAAATCTGCAGAACTAATTTTATTTGCTGGCTGTGTGATTTCATGACACCACATTCTCTGTTTACCTATTTCTTTCCCAACAATAAATTGCCCTGCTTCACTGGCTTTCTTTGTTATAAGCATACTTTACAGGATGCTTTGTTCTTGAAACCACAGAATCCCATTGTGCCTGGTCACCTGCATATCAAATCTTGCTGTGTGCCTCCATGTAAGCGGCAGGCACTCTGGATGTTCCTCCACACCCTTGACTGTGGAGAACGAGGTGAACATACACAGATAGAGCTGGGATCCTCACTGAGCCAGTGTCTGGGAGGCTCCCAGACTCCAAACTACTGTTACAGGCACTAACGTCTTGTCCTCTGTGGAGAAAAGTACTTTCTGCTCCCTCTTAAGCGGGTCCACGGTTGTTACTGAGAAAGCCTAACTTGGAAGCTGGAAGAGAAGTGGATGTTTGGGGGGCCCTGTGGGTATATCCTGTAGAGTTAATTTCTTATCCCCTTAAAATTCACTCAGATACCTACATGGACTTTTGACAAACCAAAAGTGAGAAAAAATTTACATTAAAAAAACACTATTTTTAAAGTTTTTAACAGTATCTAAAAGAGATCTTTTAACAACTGGTAACTACCAATGGAAGCCTCACTCCATTTAAACTGATAACACATTTTCAATAATTTAAGGTCTGATATGAACAGACAATGTAAATGTTTTCAACTATTAGGGCTTCATTTTTTACCAACCATCTCAGACCAAAATGGGCTCTTGTGCCTGTACCAGACCAATATGACCAGTTAGGAGAGCCAATTAAGTGTCAAAATAAAAGAGAGTCCCTTATCAGATGACAATTTGCCTTGTTGACACAGCCTTAATTCCATTTTCTAGAACTCAAAAATCCAAGGGCCATTGTTTAAATCAGTGATTTCCAACGAAGAGAATTCTGAATTTCACAGTTAAAAAACATTAAAGGAATATTGCCGGGAAACCTCTTTTTATGGCCATACACCAATGTACTTGGGCATGGCTGACTCGGGAAATCATGATTACATGTGTTCCCAGAGGTTTTTGCCCTTCAATGTGTGGCTATTTCTACCTCCACTGGGTTTTACATCGGTCTTTGCTTGCTTCCTGGATGATTTCCTTGTTGATAGTGTTTGTATGATTTCTCACGAGATGATACAAACTGTCTGCCCCATAGTAGGCAATAACAGGTTTTGTGAAGAACAGAGATAAATTACCAGGCTCTGGTTAAAGCAGAAGGGGGCAGCTTGGAAGCTGTCTGGGAAATAGTGTGGAGTACTTTGCATGGAACTGAGCGAAGGATCCGGGTGTGTCTCTGGCTGAAGGTAGGAATCAAATATCTGGTCCAGAAAGCCTGGGTTTTCTTCACAAGAAACACAACTGGAAAATTCTCGGGGTTGGAAATAATTGGGTGTGGAAGGAATTGGTTCGGGCTCAAAATACAGTCCTAGAAGAAAAAGGAACAGGAGAGGTTTTGGTTTAAAAACTGCACTTACATATTTGAATGGAGTTCTAGTCTATATTCTGAGTATTTACTATATCTAGGGGGAAAAGGGGAAAGTTTGAGAAAAGTAAATAGGCAGGCAATTTGGATTTTTTAAGTTGCCTTAGTTAATTCAAGCCCAGTGAAATGAATCTGATTAATAACTTGGAGATTTATTCAGAAGGTGAAAAGAAAAGAATGGTGATCCAATTTCTGTCCAACTGTCACAGCCAAGCTCAAACTTCCACTGTCCACTTTCTTGGACTATAAGCACCAACACCCAGCCCCTATCTGCAGTCCACGTGAACCTCATCTCTCAAAAGTAAACTGTAGAGTTGCTTGAGGCTTTAAGAAAACTGATGCCATGGCAAATAATCCTCTTGATCTAGGGTTAATTGCTTTCTAAAAGTTTTCACACCTAGTAACTTATATTTTGAGGAGTATTATAAATGGCAACACAAATCATTAAACGGAGAAACCAGGAGTATAGAATACAAACTAGTACTGTTTTATATTACAAAAAACAAAAATGTTTCCTTAGTGAACATGTTACGTTACACGTGATCAAGGAATTAATCTAAGTGCTTACATACCAAACAAGAATAGTTCTGAAAACATGACTCCTTTTCCATTTTAGTATTAATAGGCCCCAATTCTGATTATTATCCTGGAATGCTCAAAGAAGATAGGCTTAGAGGAATAACAGAACACTGGAGGTTTTGAAGTCTCAAGGCTCCTTTAAGGTTAAGTTAAAGTGGCACATTCAGTGGGGAGTTCCCATAGCACAGGTTTCCTTATAGATGACCTCCTTCAACTCTGAGCTGCCAGTAGCATAGGTAGGAGTGTTTATGTAATAGCATTATTTGTATGGGCTGAGAAAACACACTTGTTTGAACTGCTTTCTGAGAAGAGAGAAAAGAAGGGGAGGGAAGCCCCTGTCGCTAGAAACTAAGTGAAACAAGAGCAAAGGCATTATTCTAGGACCTCCTGATGTTCTGTTTTCCACCTAATAGTACACTTAAAAGATAACAGGTTTCAGAAAGCAATCCTGATCTTTTAATCAAGATTAGTTACTTGGAAATGAGGACCTGGAACTAATGTGAGGAACAAGCTCTTGGGACAGAGTAGATAGCAGAGAATAGACAGTTTAGAAATGAGGACAAAATGTTGCACCTGTTTCCTTGCTGGGCTTATATTTGGAGTCACCATGCCTTTTTTTTCACCTTCTGATTGGTTGGATTCCAATTAAATGGTGGTGCCTATCTTAACCCCTGAATCAAGTACTAAAAGCCTTTCCAGATGGACTTTTGCAAGTGTTTTTGAGGGAATTGTAAGGCTGGCTGTACTGACCTGCAGAAGATGGTGGGACTGGGTCTGAAAGGTGGACACTGTTGCCTCCGGACTGCTGCCAAAGCAAGATGACCACAAAACAAAGTGAAATAAGAGTTCTTTAAAGGGAAAGCTAAAACATTTTGACATGAACTATGTTGCCTTCTACTTTAAGGTAAGCCAGATCCTTTCTTCTAAAAAAACTTGCTGTTGTGAAATACAACTGATGTTATATCTTATTCAGATACAACTTTTATTTTTGCTTGGGGATTTTTTCTAATGTCTCCCACTTAAATTTTTATTAATTTTGATAAAAATTAATTTAAATAATTTTTATATTACATAAATGAACACTTCAAGAAAACTCAGTAGTCTATTAAATGATTTAATTTAAAATTAATAAGGACTAACATTTATTTAATCCCAACTAGCTATAACTCAGTCAATCATTTTCCTCAAAATCTTCTTATACTATCTGTTGGCTTAGTCCTGGATAGCTAAAAATAGTCACATGTTCTTCCTAGCTATGATATGTTATAACAGAAAATATTTTCTTAAAGTTATAGTAACTTGGAGCTTATCTACATTGTAGTTAATGGTTGGGTTGGGAAATATTTTACTTCTCTGGACTTTTTATGCTATTTTCTTTAAAGTTGCTTTCTTCACTACAATAAATACCTGAAGTTTACCAGTCTGTTCCTTTTAACTATTCAAAGTAAAGCAGCCTGTGTCCTCTGGTTAAATTAATAACGGTACTGAGTAATTTAGGACTTTTTTGTTTTAGGTTTCAGGTGGTGGCTTTAAAGTTTAAAGGGACCAGCCTTGCTCCGAGAGTCTGTGCTAGGAAGCAGAGCTGCGCACGCCCATCTCTTGTCTCTCGGGGTACTCCACACACCCGTCTCCTGTCTCTTGGGGTACTCCGCATGCCTGTCTCCTGTCTCTCGGGGTACACTCACAGCTGTATACTGAGCCGCTGAAAGCCTGCAAAGTCAGTCGCTGCTGAAACAGGAGGTGGTGTTAATTTTGAAAACGATCCATGCTGTAATGTCATGAACCAGGAAGCTGGAATCCTTCACCAGCTCTTTATGCAAATATTTGGCTGCAGCTTGAGCTCAAGCACTTGGAAGGAGTGGGTTTTAAAAACTCGGCTTCATTGTAGAGCTCTCATTAACCCCATTCCTCCCCCGGAATGGTCCCTTTGTAGACCTCCCCAGGTTATCTCCCGCAGGTATGTTTACAATATCCTACGTGATATTATCTCGCTAGTCATGGGTTCACTTTCTACTCTACTCCAAGAATACAAAGAAAGTCTCCTCTCTCTAGATTTCAAACAGTGCAAAAGTCCACAATCTATGATTTATAAAGGCACATCATCTGTTTAAAAAAATTAATAGTAGGAAAGGGTAAATTATGTTTTTTGGTAAGTACTAATTCAAGTTTCTCTTTATCCTGTGGGTGAAAGAGTTATGTGTGTGCATGTGCGTGTATGTGTGTAGGGCTGTTTGTAAACTGATTCTGCTGAAGTAAGCTTTTGAAATTGATAAATCTGACATGCATGTGTGTCTCCTGGCGCTACCGGATACCTTAACATTTGTCTCAATCTATACCTTCCATCCAGGATTGCCTTCTTAAAATTTCGAATTGTGGATACTACTCTGTCTTTATAACAAATTATGATAAATTTCTTCCTGCTTTACGTATTTGATAAAAAATCAACTCTTTCCTTGGCTTAATGCTTCCCAAAGGTCTCCTTTACCCACTGAACAAATTGGAGATGATCTCTGTTAAACCAGAAGCAGGCATACATACACTGTCCCCTGCTACCTGCCATCCGTGTCTACTGACTATACCTCCTAGGCTTCCTAGAATCCCAGATCCTTCTGCTGGTTCTCAGTGAGGAATTTTACATCTGACTCTCATAGTTAAATCATCTCTGTGTTACTCCTCCATGCCTGCGAGGACCTGGGTGGATATCATCTTCCAGAAAGCAAAGCTGGGGCCAGCTTTGCCCTGCATGTTCCTGCAAAGCACTGGTTTAAAAGTACTGCTTGATTATTTTTCAGAGAGGAATTCAGAAAAATTTAGATAAATCAAACTGCTCTAGGGAATAGATACTAGTCAGATACACAAATGAAATGTTTCAGCCTTGCTTTCATTCCAGCAGCTAGCTAACAGGGAAACAGTGGGCAAACCAATCCAGAAGTGGCCAAGAATAATACAGTAGCCATGTGCAAGTGAGGCTTCTCCACATTGTAGCTGGAGCAGAATTGTACAAGGTACCAAAGCCCCTTAATGAAAGATTACATTTTGTTAGGAACATCCTGATGATGTGGGTTTTTTTTTTTTTTTTTTGTACCAGTAGTATATCCCAGTTTCTTTGTTCCTGGTTTTATTAATTTTAAAATAATCTCTGAAATAAAGGAGTTGGTAGTTAAGGCTACCAGACTTCTGCTCAGTACAGTTGGATCTGCAGGAAGATGAATTTAGGGAGCCAACAGGTGGGAAGGTTTTTTTTTTTTTTTTAAAGAATAAGAAGGTCTTGGTCCCACTTTTTGCTCTGCCATTAGCAACTGTAAGGCTTTGAACTTTAGCTGTAATAGAGGCATACAGATCCCTGATTCACTCACCTCTCCTGGTTATTGTAAGAACTAAAAGAAATAGTGAGTGTGCAAAAGTGCTTTAAAAGAACCATTGGAAAGCCCTCTACAAATGGAAGAAAGTTTTATGGCATGAGCTGAAGTTCTACATGTGGAGGCACTGACTTTGCATGCATGCTCACTGGCTCAAAAGTGTCCGACTCTTTGCAACCCCATGGACTATAGCCTGCAGGCTCCTCTGTCCATGGGATTACCCAGGCAAGAATACTGGAGTGGGTTGCCATTTCCTCCTCCAGGGGATCTTCTTGATCCAGGGATTGAACCCACATCTCCTGTGTCTCTTGCATTGGCAGGTGGATTCTTTTACCACTGAGCTACCTGGGAAGCCCACCGACTTGACATCCAGCAAATATAAAATTTGTGCTGCCAATGCTATATCACAGCAACCTCTAAACTCCCATTAGAACTCTAAACTCTGAGCAAAGGGTGTGAGTGAACATTAGTGAATATCTGGCTTTTAACTTCTGATTCTAATTTTATTTTAGCTACTTTTCACAAATAATAATAATGATAGCTAACATGTATTGAGCACTTTTTAAGTGGAAAGTGTTCTTCTAAGTGTTTATGTGCAATAACCCACTCTCACAGAATCCCATTATCTCCAGCATAAAGATGAGGAAGCCGAGACACGAGAGACTGAGTAACTTGCTCAAGTCTTCACACCATGGAGGAACTGGGGTCTGAACCCAGTTCACTGGTTCTAGAACCTGTGTTTACCACTGCTATGCATCTTCCCCAAAAGGCCCATTTTATGAAATCAGGCATTGCACACAAACAGCACTGGATACAAAAACTGTTGTGGGACAGATGCCAATAAGCTGAAGACAGGACCACTGGCAATATAGGCCCATCCTTCATATCTGAATCTACACCCAAACTAACCCAAAGGCAACTGTGTGATCAAGGGCTCTCAGCGATGAATTGCCCTCTCTTGGGGGAACCCACCCTAGTTTATTTGGTTCTGTTGCTGAGCATTCTTGCTAGTATCTTCTGCTTTAGGATGCACGTAAAGTGGTAGGTACCCTTATGACTGCCCAGGTCTATCTCATAACCCCGAACTGCTTAAGGCTTCATCACATATAAGGAGGTGGTTCTATATGCCAAGCTGTCTCCTCTGAGGCTACACAGCCCCTTTCAGCTGGGTAATTTCAGTGCTTGGGATCAGAAGAATGAGGACAGAGGGTGTGTGTGTGGTGGTGGCGGGGCGGGGGGGGGTTCCACGGAGAATCGCCCCATGAAGGGCTCCCTAAAAGGACATTTCTGGGAGAGATTTCCTTTGCCTATGTGAGGACATACACTATCTTCCTACAGAATAAGAACCTACTTACCTACTGGCTGCATTGGACCAACATGCTCGACTATGATCAGTGAGGGCTGGACTCCCCCAAATCCTGAGCCCTAGAACATGTCTGTTTTCTGTGATGAACTGGGATGAAGGTGGGCACAGATGTCATAAGATCAGCTAAAGAAGGCCAGCTCTGGGGATGGTGATGGGCCCAGGGAGGCCTCCTACACCTTTCCGGACTCAGGGCAGAATGAAGCTGAACATGATCTGGGAATGAGTGAAGGGTTCATGCTTACGGTTCCCCCTGAGGCTGCCTGATGTGCTCGTCTCTGCTGCAGCAGCTCCTTCACCGTGATCTTCACCCGGACACCTTGATACACCTTAGGTTTTTCTGGGGAAAGGCAACTGAGTCAGTGGTCAAGTGTAAGGTCTGCAGTGTCAGGCAGGGGTGTAGGGGTCTTTATAAACTAGGCATCTAATGCCAGATCTCCAGGTCTGGATAACACAAACAATGCTAAAAGACAGATGGGAAAGAAACTCAAATTTCTCAAACTTGAACGGATGAAGAGATTACCACGGGCAGGTTTCAGGGCCCCAGTGGAAACAGAACCTATGGAAATCTGTGGGCCCACCCACCCCAGGCTGGGCACAGGTTTTTCTGCTCAGGAATGTGGAGACCAGCCTGGAGAAGCACTCCTCCTCAGTTAGGGAAACCCAGGGTTCTGGTCTGGAAGAGAGACGGGGGAGGGGCTGGATGCTTCAGCACTGACCTAGCCCACCCCACTCCCACTCCAGTGCAAGTTCCGAGTCCCTTCCTTTCCCACGGGACCAGTCGTGGCTTCTGGGGAGCTTCTAACCTCAGTGCGCCCCTGGCCTGGAAGCCAGCCCTGGGGCAAGCAGCGGGCGGGTGGGGTTTGGCCGACCCTGGTCCTTGGATCGGTGAGGGCTCACTAGGCTGAGCCCAGTAAAGGGTCCAGGCGTGAGAACTGCCCCCTCCCTCCCGTCTTTTTCTCCTGCCTCCTCTCTCCTCACCCCCTTTCTGCTCCTTCGCGTCTTTCCCGCCTCCCTCCTTAGGCCCCGCTCCTGCTCGCCCCTTTTCCCGTCTCTCCCCACCCCCTCCCTTTCTGGGGCTGGCATTTCCCGGCGGCGCCCGAAGACTCCAAGTCGAGTCCGCGCGGGGCGAGCCCTGGGGAGGCGTGCGGGGCGGCCCAGGGCCGCGCGCGCTCGGCTGGGAAGCCGCCCTCCAGAAGGGGCCGCCCCGGGCTGCCGGGCTCCCGGGACAGGCCGGGCGCCCGAGGGGTCGGCGGGCAGGGCGTCCGGGGCGCCGGGAGCTCGGGGCAGCCGCGGCCCCGAGTGGCGGGTGGTGGTTGGGGAGGGCGCGGAGCCGCGGTGAGTAGGTCGGGCCGGGCGAGCATTCGCGGGCGGAGGTGGCCGCGAGAGTCCGGGCGCGACTCCGGCCCTGACCTCGACCCGGGAGTGCGCGAGCGCGGGAGAGCCGCGCGGGGAGGGGGCGGGCCGCGCGATCGGCCCGGGCGCCCGCGACCGTGTCGGGCCGCCAGCGCCTCGCCTGGCCACTGCGGAGACCGCCGCAGGACTGGTGGGAGCCCCCGGGGCCGGGTCCCGGGAGCTAGACGTCTCCCACTGCGAAAGGAGGTCGCGCAGTTTGTCGCCCAGACCCAGGGGATCCCGCAGCTGGCCCGCGGGGCCTGGGCGCCGCACCCTCGCCGCCATCCACCGTCTCCCGGAGACTTCCTCGCCGGGTCCGCGGCCCCACGGGCAGCGAGTGCGGCCCGGGGTCCGCGCGGGAACCGCCACGGCCCGGCTCTGAGCGGCCGGCGCGCGTCCCGGGCTCTTCGCGAGCCTCTAGCTCCCCCCGCCGCCGCTGCTGCGCGCGCAGAGTCCGCGCCGCCGAGAAGTCCCAGGGTCACATCTGTGGCCAAGTGAGAGGGCCGGTGGTGGACCGCGGGACGCGGACCGCCGCGGCAGCCAACTGGGTCTCTGGGCCTCTGCCCTGGGGACCAGGCGCCGAGTGGGAGCGGCCACAGCGTGGCCCGTGCTCTGTCCCGATCCCGGGCTCCTACTTGCACGCCCTGACTTTGTGCCTCTCTGTTCCATGCAGGAAAAGTCGTGGAAATACACCCGGATCAAAACGCCCCTCGCCCTCGTGACCCTACCCCAGAAGAAGCAGCCGAGTTACCCGACATCGTGGTCAGCAGAAGCTGAGGTGGTGTGGCTGGATGCTGCAGCTGCAGGGAATCAGCGTGGAGGAGGGCTCCTGTGCAGGGGGAGAAGCAGAGATGCAACATTTTTAAAGTTTCACAAAGCATCCAGCTGCACCCAGGTTCCTGGAGCAGGAGACAAACAGAATTAATGTTTTATACCTTCGGGTATAGGTTTGAGTTTTTTCCCCCTCATGCCAAGTATTTAAAACCTCTAGAAACCCATGATTTGACAATCAATGATTGCGCGATACTTTCAATTTGAATATTCAAAGGCTTAACAAAATGGACTATCTTCTGCAGAAATCCTGCATACAGGCACCCCAGGGAGAGTCCACAGAAACAGGGAGTGAGACCCCTTTGGGTCCTGACCCTTGCTTTTACTGTATTTTGAGCATTTTGCCCACCTTCCCACAGAGAGAGCAGGAATCCTCAAAGATGCTCTGTGTTTCTGCCTCAAAGGGAGCTCTGGGATCCCTGAGTGACCTAGGCTGCCCTTCATGTCCACCTGAGCCAGACTGACTGGGCTGACTGGTTTCCATCTCCTCAGTCTCTGTTTTAAGGGAAAAGCTCAGGTTTTGGGGAGTGAACATGGCAGCCAGTAGGTATGGCCTGGCAGAGAGTCACTCTGGGCCCAGGTTGCAGGCTGGAGGCCTGCAGAGGCCTTCGCTCTGCGCCTCATCTGCTTCTGGCCCCGCCTGGCCACGTGCCGGCTTCCCTCCCCTTTCCCCCGCTCTCTCGTCTGTGCCCCAGACACTGGGCTTTCAGTATGGTATGCCTGCACATTAAGACCCTTTGCTCCTCCCCACAGAGCTGGGGGTGCCTCTGGGGCCTCACCCTCTGGAGAGTTTCTGAGTCTGGTGGTTTTTCACTGTGAAGTTCCCTTTTTATTTTTTTTTCCTCTCCTCTTTTTCCCTCTAGAGCCACCCCTGCCTTTTGGCCACAGGAGCATGTGTTGAGAAAGGATGATAAGCTTGGCTTCTGCTCATTTTAGCTGAAAGGATATGGATTTGGGTTCAGGCCTTCACACTTGAGGTGTGAGGTGGGAGGGCTTTGAGGTCAGCTGCCCCCTCGGTCCCAGCCTAATCCCCTCACAGATGACCTGAGATTGTGCTGGGTTATGTTCTTCAACCACCTGCTGTACCTCTCCTGTGTGATTTGGAAGCTCGAGGAGATACGAGTGGCCCAGAGAGGGAGTGGGTGCCAGGCCAGATCCTCTCCTAGCCCCCAAGGGAAGGCAGAGTGGGGTTCCCTTTCCAGGTAAGCCAAGACATTTCCATGTTGCCAGGACAGGCAATGATTATAGGCCCCTTTTCTTTGTTCTCTGAAGTGCGAACAGTGGATTTGAGCAGAAAAAAATCCAGATGCTCTGGGGTGTGTTGGTTGCAGGGTTGAGCATGCAGAGGTGGAGAAAGGAGTTCTCTAAGAGTGACAGGACACCAAGAGTGTGATGGATAAGTTGCCTGACAAGTGCACCCATGTCTCTGGGGGAGGAGATCAGGGCTGGGGACCCTTGAGGTGGCTCCTGGTGGTAGATTTGTCTCCAGTCTACCCGGAATCTGTCAGCTCTGGAGCCTCTTTCTCCAAAGGCACCGAGCCTGTGTTTTCCTGATGGACCTCAGCAGCCTGGTGAGGAGGGGAGGCCACCGGGAGTTGAGAGAGGAGAGCCCCTGTTTCCTCTCTCCATGTCCTGTTGTGTGTGGGCCCAGGCCTTCTCAGGAAGCAGTGAGGCAAGCAGCGTCGAATTAGGGACAGTCTCTTTGCCTCCTAGCTTCTTCCATGACTTCTTTTCTCATTTGTCCTCCTTTTTCTTTTACACTTATTTTCTTTTGGTTTGCTTAAAAAAAAAACTTCTCTTGGACCTTTGTGGTGTTACTTTTTTTTTTTCTGGGTTTCTTTTTTTTCCGTCTTTTTTGGCCATTACTTTCCTCCATTCCTTATCTGCATTGCTGTTTTTGTCCTGGGCTTTGTGTGTGTGTCTGTTTCCCTGTGTTCTGGGGTGCTGTCTCAGTTTTTCAGGCTTAGTCACCTTCCTAATTTCTCCTTTCATGTGGAGATGGACAGGGATGGCAGGAGCCATAGAGTGCTTTTAGCGACATCATGGAAACTGATGCAGGGATTGGTTGCCCTTTGGAGAAGGCAGGCAGGGCTGGGTGAGAGGTGAGCGGTGTGGAGGCCACACACTCTCTAGGGACAGCAGAGACCTCTCTGTCCCTTCCTCCAGAAGCCTCTGCCCAAACCAGAGCAGCAATTCTGGGGGCTTCTGCGTTGGCCCCTAGCTGAAGTGATGGATGTTCCAGTGCTGTGGCTAGCTCGCAACTTTGGAAAACTGGATTTCCTTAGGCTGGAGCCCTGATTTGAGAAACAAGCCCCCGGGCCCCCTCCCGCCCCAGTTTGTAGCTTAACATTAAGGGGTTTGGTTTCCACTGTTTCTATAATTGCAAAACCCTGGCACAGATACATAAGAGCTGGATGCCACACTGGTAGGGGTGAGGGAGCATTCTTTCTAATTTGCGCCCGTAAATTCTCCTTGTGGGGCCACGTGCGTCCTGTGGTCTGGAGCAGTGAGCTTGGCTCTGAGACCCCATAGCCTTGGATGTTCCTTTTTAGAGTTTGTGCTTCATCGAATGTTTGTTGCATGTCAGGCACTGAATGGAAGAACCTCCCCCGATCCCAGACAAGGAAACGGGTCAGAGGGATGAGCAACATGATCAAGATTACTGAGCAGGTACATGGCAGGATTAGGAATCAAAGTTTCATAAAGCCCTTACTCTTAACTATTATAGTTATCTTCCTGATCTTTTGTAGCAGACGCTTTCAAACTTTTTAGACTTCAACCCACAACTAAGAAATTCATCTTACACGTTCACATACTATAACAGTATTTATGTGTTTATAGAATAGATTTTCGTGGAACAATGTACACCTATGCGTGTAAGATGTTCTGAAATTTTCTGTTCCATCTTTTCCATCTCATATTATTTAGAAAAAAGTCTATGTTGGTTGGGAGTCACCGAGATAATTTAATGATCCGCGGATGAGTTGTGACTAAAACTGGGAAATATTGGCTGTGAGACATGTAGACACACTTGTCAGAGCGTGCTCAGACAGCACAGCTGTTGTGTGTGGACTCTGTGCTGTTGGCGTGTGTGGGGAGGCTGGGGCAGTGCAGATACTCAGTGGAGAGTGGTCTGTAAACACTGGGGTCACTGGAACCCCGAGAAGAGGCTGCCTGGAGGGGAGGAGGAGCTGCTGATTAGGCTAATGACAGCTTGTGTACCTCGGACTGGGAACTCTTCTTTCTTGCTGGGGGCATGTGCTGTGCTTAGTCATTCTGTCGTGTCCAACTGTGTGTGACCCCATGGACTGCAGCCCTCCAGGCTCCACTGTCCATGGGGATTCTCCAGACGAGAATACTGGAGTGGGTTGCCATGTGCTCCTCCAGGGGATTTTCCCAACCCAGGGATCAAACTCACGTGTCCCACACTGCAGGTGGATTCTTTACCATCCGAACCACCAGGGAAGCCCAAGAATAGTGGAGTGGGTAGCCTATCCCTTCTCCAGGGGAACTTACTGACCCAGGAATCGAACCAGGGTTTCCTGCATTGTAGGTGGATTCTTTACCCACTGAGCTACCCTCGTGGCTGCCTGCTAAGTGTCTGCCCTGAGGTCCTGATCATCCCTTTGGAGTTTTTAGTAAAAGACTGAAAAATAAAATGTTGTGGACTTTAACAGGTTCTCTTGCCTCAAAATGTAACATAGGGTCCTGATGTTTGAATGTTTAAAGGGATCTCTGAGGGACTGAGACAGACTTGGAGTGTTTTTCAAACATCCCTGCTGGTGGTCGTCTGGCTAAGGCTCCCTCTACCCTTGGGTTGAGCTGTAGGCCTGTAGATGAGTTTTGAGGAAATGGGAGCTCACTGCATGTCAGGCAGGCTGTTCCACTGCTTTAAATATAATGATTGCTGGCTGAGCCAAAATCCAATGTGTTGTGTTAGTTGAATACCATCTACATGCTTGGCCTGGTATCAAGCACCAGGAATACAAAGACACATAGTCCTGCTTTCTGACATCAACTGCTTGGTAAGTAATGTGGATTACCTGTTCTCCCACTTCCACATTGCTGCTCCTTCATTATGGGTCTGTCCAGTACATTCATTGGTTCATTCATTCATTCAATGAGTGTATAATGATGACCTGCTTTGACTAGGCCCAGAGCTAAGCCTGAAGAAATGATCACACTTCCTTCCACTCCTACTGTAAACCTTTTCTTTTTGAGGTTCACCATCCATAGCTTCTCTAAGTCTTCATGTATTACAGTATTTCAGATCTCTGAGCCACTGATCTTAGAAACTCTTAGTTGTTCCTTGACCGTCTTGAAGTCCTATAACACCAGAATAATGGGAATAGAATACATTTCTTTTTAAAGTTTTAAGCTGAATATTTTAACTGAAAAGTTTTGGCAGGCTTTTGTATGCAAATGACACTGCAAAGCATTGTATTTTTCCCCCAAAGTAGGAGATTTTATTAAATTACACACATTTGACACATGGATATGGAAAGACTTTCAGTATAAGAAAAAGAAGGAGTTTATTCCCTCTAAATTTGACTATGGCTATAAATTCTCTTTATTAATGCAAAGCTCTTTTGTCATTCTTACTGAGGAACACTGTTACCAAACCTTGTGGGTAATATCAAGTTCCAAAAATATGGAGGAAACAAGTAGTTACTGGGATCAGTGTGAATGCTTGGTCCATATGAAAATGACCAGGAACACTATTATACAAAGGTTATTTAATGATTTGTAGTAAGTCAAACTCTTTCCATAAAACAAATTCAAAGTTTTTACTTTAAGAGACTTCCATGGGGAATGAGCATTTGATAGTTTATCATTTAGGAAGATACCATCAGATTCTTCTTGAAAAGTTCATCTTTTACTTAAGACATTTTTATTATGCAATATTTAAGACATACAAAAGCATTAA